ATGGTTAATTCCCATCTGCTGTCACATGTAGGGTGTGATGTTTTGTGACCATTACATGGTTAATTCCCATCTGCTGTCACATGTAGGGTGTGATGTTGTGTGACCATTACATGGTTAATTCCCATCTGCTGTCACATGTAGGGTGTGATGTTGTGTGACCATTGCATGGTTAATTCCCATCTGCTGTCACATAGTAGGGTGTGGTGTTGTGTGCACTCTTGTTCCTGTCAGTCTAGGCTGTGTCAGGTGACAAGGTGAAAAGGGACTTGTTCTCGCAGGACAGACTTGTCCTCTCTCCACCCGATTGCACCCCACAGGGAGGAAATCTGTCCGTCTGTGCCGTGCACTGTGGAGCATTTGCTATGCCCCTGTCTCCAGCCCCGAGTAAGCCTTACTGTCTTGTCATTTCTCACCGTCAAGACATCATCGTCTGGTTTCATATGCCTTTAAATCAAGTTTAATGAATGTCTGAGCCCGTCTCCCACTGCTGAAAGCGGTATGAACCAGCATCAAGGGTTCATCTTAGGTTCAGTTGCACACATAAGACACCAGAATCCTTTCTGAGCCTCAGACTGACTTAGAGGTTGTGGATGAAAGGCAGCCTCCCTGCCAGCCACGTGTCCTCTTAGTGTGAGCCATGCTCGCAGCAGCCTTAGGGAAGTCCATGGCACCACTGGCCTTAAGTTTTCTTTCCCTGGGTGGCAACTTATATGTGAGGGACAGAGGCTCATCTGTGGGTATGAGGTGTCCTGGTTTAGAAGATCCATGCCCTTCAGGAATCTTTGGATGAGCTCTGTAAGGAACATGCCGGATTGTAAGAGTCATTGCCCTCAAGGAAGGGCAATACTTTCTAAGCCAGATATAATGCACCGACTTCGGATAATTTTAACTAGAGACAGCATGATCTCCCAACATTGCATTTCCAAGAAATAGAACTGAAAGTTTAAAGTGAGTTCTCAGTTGAAGGACAAGGGCTGATCTTCAGTTTTCACACCCTAGGGCAGTGGTTCTCAGCCTTCCCATTGCCGAGACCCTTTAATGCAGTTCCTCATGGTGTGGTGACCCCCAACCGTAACATTATTTTCATTGCTGCTTCACAATTGTAAGTTTGCTGCTGCTATGAATCATAATGTAAACATCTGTATTTTCTGATGGTCTTAGGCGACCCCTGTGAAAGGGTCATTCCACCCCCAAAGGGGTCATGACCCACAGGTTGAAAAACACTGCCCTAGTTTTTATGAACAGCTTTAGTTAAGTAATGAAACATTACATTAGTGATGTACAAAGGTCATGTCGTAATACTTTTTAATTTCTGTAAAAGACGTCAAACAACACAGTTGTGTATAAAGAAAAATGGAGACGTTCCTGTCCTTGTCACTTGTCTATCAAGGGGCCGTCATTGACAGTTTGGTATCATCCTTAAGAGTTGTCTTTGAATGAACCTACTGTGTCCGTGTAGCATTCACAGTTAGCATGTTAGGTGGTGAGAAACACTAGCAGGAAGTAAGGTGGAGAAGAGGGGTGAACTTTTAACAGGATAGCAAAGGAAAGCCTTGCTGAGAAGATGACGTGTGAGAGACGTGGACAGAGAATAAGGAGTTGGGAGGGAAAGCCTTCTAGACACGCAGAGCAGTGGTGTTTCCCACAGTGGCAGCAGTGAGCACAGAAGAGCTAACAGGGCACAGTATGGCTGGGGTAAGGGACAGCAGGACTCTGCACACTGGACAGGGTAGCCGAGGGCAGAAGGTGAGGAACCAGCTTACCATTACAAGACACGGAAGACAGATCCTGGAGGGCCTGGGGGTTTCAGACTTGATGATAACTGCCGCTGAGTTGGGGGAGGTTGGGCTATTTTGAGTGAAGTTGTCTAATGATCTCATATCCGTGTTAAAAAGAATTCCTTTGGTTGCGTTATGAATACTCGATAGGGTGCAGGATGGAGCAGGTGACTGGATGGAATATTCATGGAAGCTGTTGTAATATTCATGGGGAGGGATTGAGGCTGGCTGCACATGTCTCTGCCCAAGGCTGTAGTGATGCGCTATGAACAGCCTTCATGTTAGTGAGGTAGCTGCCGGTTATTCTCTCAAAGGAAGCACATCATAGTCTGGATTTACCGAGATTTATTTAATCATTGCCCTATGGATATTGATTTGGGTTGATTATAATTTTTTTTTTACTGTTGTAAATATTTGTCAATTTACCTTCTTATAATGCACATCCTTGACATATAGATCAGATTATTTATAGTGAAAGTATTTAAACATTTTTCTGATTTGAAAAAAATGTTATTTTCCAAAAATGATTTAGTCTATCAAGAGATGTCTTTGTTTTGCCCATGTCACAAGTTGTTTATTTGTAATCACCATTTGGTTCCAAAATGCCTTCCTAGTATACGTGATATAAATTATTATTTTTATAGATGAGATTTGCTTAATGTGTTCTTATTAGGAGTAATAATATTGAGGATACATATTTTGTTTTTAGGCTCTCAGAGTTTCTCTGGTGTCATTAACTTGGAGAAACCTGTAATCTGCTCCTTGGCTGCCATAATAAGATATCTCAAGGAATTTAACCTGGAAAAGATGCTGTCCAAACCAGAGTAAGTAATGTCTTGAAAGCTTTAAAAAAAAAAAAAGGATGGGAGGATAATATTTTATTACAGTTAAAATATTTTATATGACACATTTAGTGGGTGTCTTGGTTGCTGTTCTATTGCTGAGAAGATACCATGGCCAAGGCAACTCTTATAAAAGAAAACATTTAATTGGGGGCTTGCTTACAGTTTCATAGGGTTAGTCCTATGAAATATAAAATATTATCATCATGGCAGGGAGCATGGCAGCACACAGGCAGGCATGGTGCTGGAGAAGGAGCTGAGAACTTTACATCCCGATCCACAGGCAGCAGGCTGAGAGAGACACTGGAGTCTGGTGTGGGCTATTGAAACCTCAAAGCTCACCCTCAGTGACACACCTCCTCCAACAAGGCCACACCTCCTAACCCTTCTAATTTTCTGATAGATCTGCTCCCTGGTGACCAAGCATTTGAATATATGAGCCTATGGGGGCCATTTCATTCAAACTACCACAGTGGGGATTATACTCAGAGGCTTACCTCTAGAGTACAAGGCTGAACTGCCTTGTACTGTTGCTGGAATAATAAAAATAGCTTTTAATTATACTGTCAAATTGTGTTTGTTATAGATATGTGATAAATTATTCTCCCTATAAAACTGCACTTTGACCAGATTAAGAATCAGTATTACAAAGGATGAATAAATTTTTATCTTTTTTGGAGGCTGGGGACACACCTCCGAGTTCAAGCACTTGTCACTCAGGCAATTGGACCAAGATTTCATATTCTCAGAACTGATGTGAATGCCAGGTGGGTCTCTGCATCCATGTGCACACTCAACTGCACACACACATGGGCTCACACACATGAAAACTTGTTACATACCTGCATACCACACATGCATGTACATGAAAAGAAGAAAAGACAAAAAATTTAAAAAGCTCCAAATTTTCTTATTCTAGGTTTCAGTCATTTCATAGACCACAGAGTTGGAGATTAAAGTGGCCAGCTACTTTAGAGAGATTTTTGTAAAAGGGATCAAGTCTGTACATTTTAGAAATTTCAAACCTGATAACTAGCATTCAAGGAAAACACCATCTTAATAACCAGTGTGCAAATGAAGGCCTTGGTAACTCTCATGCCTTTATATACGCACCTGCACCAGCTTGTCGGTGGCTCGGTCAGGAATCAGCGTTACAGATTCTGCATGACCAAGCTCCTTTCCCACTGGAGCAGATGGGAGCTAGCTCAGTAAAATAGCATTATCTGAAGTTTCTAACAAAGAAATTACTGTGGAGAGTGGAAGAAGAGCAGGTTCCTTGGGAATCTTGTGGCGGTTTTGGTGTGTGTTTTAATAAAATAAACCATCATTTCCCTGGAATGCTTTGTTTTATTTACACCACCTAAATGTCCACCAAGAGGAAAGTAGATTCATTGTGTCAGATTTGTGCAGAGTAATGTAAAACCATGAAAATGACCTGCATGATTCAGCATTAAAATCTTTATGAACAGTGAATCAAGACTAAGATCAGACTGAAGAAAGGAACCACACATTTTTATTATATGAAGTTAGAAGCTTCTGGAACAGAATAGAACATATTTAAGGACAGTAGTGAGAAATGGATGGGGTTGATGAACAATTTCAGACAGTGATTTTTTTCCCCCATGGAGGAGGAAGGAAAACAAGGCTTTGCAGAGGAAGTAGTGTAGTGAGGTTGTAATTGATTCACTTTTTAAATCTGTGTATAGATTATTCTGTACATGTGCAGTAATGACTTTCCATCACTGTGCCTAACATGCCTGAAAGAACAGCTTCCAGGAAGAAAAATTACTTTGGTTCCCAGCCTTAGAGGTGTCAGTCTGTCATGGTGGGGAGGGGGTAGAGGAGCAGTTCACATCATGGCATGGGGGCCTGCACCCTCAACCAGCCAACCTCCTTCCCTGCATCACATTCTGAACACATCCAGGGTTAGTCTGCTCACTAGGCTGGAACTTCCCTAGCCTAGTCTTTGGAAGCACCATTGCAAACACTCATAAGGGGCCTTTATATATCCCAAGCAGCCCAGTCAGCTTGAAAGTTAAGATTAACCATTCCATGTTTTAGTGTGGCTGCAAGGTTGTATTTTTTAAAAGGTTTGAAGCCTAGGATTAGAGCTCATTGGACTGTACTCTAAGCTCCAAAGACAGACTTATGGAGTAGATCATTTGTGTGGCTGACCCTTTGGTCTCTTGGAGAGTAGGTGACAAGGCACCGACCATCAGATTTGCACAGCAGGAGCCTGTGAATGGAGCAGACACCGGATGAGGACACTTGTGTTGTAAACTGGGCTCTGGTGTGTTTGGGAGTAGATGAATATGCTCTCTCATATTTAGTTGGAAGTAACAGCAGCTCTAAGTAATAAAACATGAACTTTGTGTACTAAACTTTGAAAAGCTTCATTTTGAATTTGTATGGTGGATCTTTGCATTAAATCGAATGAAGCTGAGTTTTCCCTTTGCATTTATGTGGTTAGTAGTGTGACATTTTCTCTGTGTGTACTTGGAGGCACCTTTGTGAAGTGATCAGGGAACAGTGACTAAGTGTACCTCTAATTGTTTGCCATTTCAGTGATTCTAGACTACGAAAGACAGAAAAGATGTAAAGAGCTTTAAAGTGACAGGCCCTCCCTTGTGTACACCCCCACAACTCTTTGTAGGCAGACAGTAAAGACAGGATTAATGGAGAAGGCATTGCTCTCTCAAGGCGGACTTGACTCACCGTTGCTGAAATGTCATTGGAAAGCAAGATTAACATGTAAAGATGGTGACCAGGCTGGTCCTGTTTTGCTTAAACATGAAATGCAGTCGAGGTGTTCCACAGGTGGCAGGTGGCTGCCCTCGGAGGGTCGTCCTGAAAGTGTTAATTCTATGGCTTTATGCTTTGGAAGAAGAAAGTCACCGAAGCAAGGACAGGCACTCCTCTCCTTGGACATAGAATTCAGTTGTGTCACTTTACACTTCAGTTGCTGAACTTGTGAGCTTTCTCTTCAAGAGCTAGGCTATCAGGGAAAAATTAACTTGAACTTTGCTTTGTTTAGCAAAGGCTTTCACAGATATTGCTGCGTCTCGTAGAGACCTTGATATGCATTCACTGGAAGGTCACTGTGCCTTTACAACAGAGTTTTAGGTGGTATAAAAAAACCAAACAAACCTAAACCAACCATCTTAGGAGTTGTTTATAAGCACAGGTGAAATGGGGTTTTGTTAAGTAATACAATTTTTGAAGTTACAGAATTGTTTTGAGAATTTAAGTAGGTTTGTTCTAGAGCAAGACAGCATAGTAGTGTAGAGAGACTGTAATGCTAGAGAGTTTTTACTATAGTTTGGGTGCTGAATGTCCCCAAAGGCCCATGTTTTAAGAGTTTGGTCCCAAGTCTGTATTGTTGGGAGGTGATGTAACCTTCATGAGATAGGGCTCAGTGGAGGGAGAGTATCAGGGGTGCGCTTCTGAAGAGGATATTGGGATCCTGGCTCTGGCTCTGTCCTTGCTCCCTAGTCCTGCTGTACTGTCTGGATGCCATGAGGCCCAAGTGTCGTGGAGCCATGCGACTGTGCTGATGCCTCTGAGACCGAGAGCACACTCAACCTTTCCTACGCATTTTGCCACAGCAGTGTAAAGCTGCCTGATGTAGTTGTGACAGAATTTGATGATCACTAAATTCTTAAATTCTGAAGGAATTGGCTTTTTTTTTTGAATTGGCTTTTTTATTGTTGGAAATGCATTTGTTTCCATATTTGGTAGCTCTTATTAAGATCTGTTTGGTTAGAACTTCAAGTAGAATAAGAATGAATGTAACAGAAGTCAAAGTCTGTATTCTGAAAACTGTAAAAATGGTTGAAAAGAGTAAAGAGCACCAAAATAAGTGGAAAGGCATCCCAGGTTCATAGACTGGAAGACAATGCCAGGGAGATCAGCTCCCCGGCCATCTATAAACTCAGGGCAGTCACTGTCAAAGCCCATGCTTTGGAGGACTCTCCACGCTGATTCCCATAGTGCTGTAGCAGTGTGCGCCCCCACCAGCAGTGGAGAAGGGCCTGCTCTGCATCCTTGCCAGCATTTGTCCCATTGGTTTTCTTAATCTTAGCCATTTTAACTGGGGTGTGATGAAATCTCAAGGTAGTTTTAACTTACACTGCCCTGATTGCTAAGCATGTTGACTGACCACATTAAATGGTATTTCTTAGCCATTTTTTTTCTTCTCTTGAGAACCCTGTTTACATCTAACCCCACCCCTTTTTGATTGGGTTGTTTGTTTTCTCAATACTTTGTACATTCTGGTTATTAATCCTGTATGTGATGTATAGCTGGCAATAGTTTTTCCCATTCTATGGATTCCTCACTGAACCTGGTGGGGGCGGGGCGGGGGGCGGGGAAGAGGGGCGGAGCTGGGTATCTGCCTTTGTTTCCCTCTTTAATAGGTTTATTGGTGGCATCGAGGAAATGTCAGTTAGTGTTTGCTTAGTTATGAATCAAGGAGAAGTGAAAGGCCAGTGAAACTGAGGTTTTAGTCTCCTGTGCATCTTAAAATCCACAGATTATTAACAGGCCCAAAGTTGGATACATGATGAATGGATTGACTCTAAAAACCATAGAGATCTTTTGCTCTTTCACATGTGACATAGTAGAGTGTTTTGATTTCTGTTTCTATTTTAAAGTAGTATTTGAATTTGTTCTCTGTAGTTGATTGGCCATTCACGGAAGGTATGTGTTTTTGACTACTCTTCAGAAAGATGGGCTTCTCTTCCCAGCCCCCAGAAAGTAGAGCAGGAGTAATAAAGCCCCTCACATTCCCTCAGCAAGTTTTGTCAAGGTTATTTTCCCCCTCTTTTAAAGCTTGAGGACAGAGAACACCCTGTATATTTCTGTTGCTGAAATATTAATGAAATCTTTTCCCATATGGCTCATAGGATTTCTCTCCAGATTCACACAGCATGAGCTCTGGCTGGATATTGCTTATGAGGTTCCTATCAAAGCACACAGACTTTGGTATCTTCTATGAGTATAAATAATTCAGAATTGTTTGAATATTTTAGACCAGTGATCATATACTATATATTGTTGAGTACCTGAGGATGCTAGCAGATAGAATCTTCAAAATGTATACAATTCCCCCATGGAAATAGGCAGAGGCAAGAAGGAAATTATTATTGTTACTATTTTGCATTTGGAAGGGATAGTCCAAGCTCCACTCTAGAGTTCTTACCCCCAAATTTGAGAAGTCCTCAATGGTTGAGGATTGCCTACTGGTTGATAACTTATTTACGTCAGTGGAGCTGTCAGCTTAATGAATCACCTCTTTACTGTATCCAGTTTGGAATTTAGATTTCTTGTTAGAACAAAAAGAAAAACAGTGACACAAGGCTCATGGCCAGCCAATCAAACACAATTACATGTATAATAACCTCATCACTACTGTGTTTAAAGCATTGTGAACTAACACAGCCAATTTGGTGGTTCATCTCCTGGTTTCTTTTTTCATATTGTTGGTACTGAAAGCATCCAGCAGTTATATGCAGATGCAGTTTCCAAGCCTCCTTCCTGATCCCTTGTCCAGACCAAATTCAGCCACATTTGTAGAGATTTGTTGGCAGGTAGGCACTCAGAAAGTTCTCCAGATTTCAAGTTCTTTTACTTTTTTTGTCTTCTGACAACATTTTACTTAAGTGGTTCCTTTGTATGTCAGATGGTAGGAGCAGCATTTCACTGTTAGAATCAGGATAGTTGGTGGACCAGAGGATGCTTCTAGACTCCTAAGCTTCAGACATCATCTCTCCGGGTATAGACCTTGAGCTCATGGGATTATTACATTGAGCATGTGAGGGTGTGGGCAACTGAGGAATATTTTTGAATCATCTATACATTTTCATTTGGATTTTTTATCCACCAGTCCAAATTTATTTCTCGTTCTTTGTGTTGAGTGATGGAGCCACCGAAGATGCTGCATTATAGCTTCTTTCAGAGTCTGTCTGTCTCATGCCAACTCCATAACCCCCCAGATTCGAATTACCAATCTCTTCCTTCTGTATGTGGTGCCATTGACAGGTGATGCTCTCAGGAGGCGAAGAGGCCATTTAGTGCTTTAATAAAAGAGGCCCATGGACCCCTAGCCACACTGTCTGTGAGGAACAGACCTTTGCAGACTCGAGATTTGTTGGCTCCTTGGTCTTTAACTTCCAGGCCCCAGAACTGTGAGCAGTAAATTTCTCTTGTTTACAGATTGCCAAGCCTAAGGTATTTCGTTATAGCAATCCACATGACTAGAGCAGTAACTAAGTACCTGTTTAGGATCTGTGTCTGACTAGGGTACCCACGTGTTAACTGATCAGTGCTCAGATGTGGTTAGTTTAGCCTGTCAGGAGCAGGAACCATCACAGCTGCCTCCATTTCTATACTGTTAGCTGTTAGATGCCATGGCAGAGTCAGGCTGCCAGCCCTCCTGATTTGGATCTTTGACTGAATTTGCATGAACACCTGTTAGCTATACAGTCAAACACTGCCTAATTGATTCTTCCTGTAAATGATATTTTATAGTTTATAACTGTGCTTGGGGGCTTCACAGACATTTCTGGGGCTTTATGACTCAGGGAAAACAAGCCTAAAGCAGTTTTCTTTAGGAAGGTGGGGCACAGTCACTAAGCAGCTATGGTTCCCTGTCTGTGGTAGCAGAAGATGTGTGGGCTCAAACTGGGAATCCTTGCCTCCAGGGAGCTCGTGTCCATTAAGGATGGTGCAGTTGCAGTCCAAATTACAGTATTTTAAGAAAGTTAACAGCTCTGAGGTGGGAGGAAAGGCCACATATGTGTGCTGTCAGTCAGTTTCAGGGTTGTCACCCTCTGACCATTAACGAGTTCTCTTTGAAAGGCAGAGTAAACTTCCCATAGGTAACTTGCTCCTAGGATGTGGTAAGTTATTTTTCTTTTCCAGGGCCCTTGGCCTTGGTTGGAGGAATCTTCTAGAAGCAAAGAGGTCCTTTCATGAGCACTACCAGCTTGGGCTCTGATTGTACATTCTCTGCATTCCTGGGAGAGGGCTTGTTTCTATAGGTGGATGGAAATTGGAGTTACTTAAATCTCCTTACCCTCAGACGTGCTCTTAGGATGTGGTGTAAACACAAACACATTCCCTCTATGACTTTAATGACTCGACGTGACGTTTCTCCCCTTGAAAGTAAGCCATTAGTAGTAAGGCGTGGTGGCATATGTTTGTAGTCACAGTGCTTGGGTGGCAGAGGCAGGAGGATCACGAATTCAAGTCTAGGTTGAGCTACATAGTGAAATTGATACAAAAAACAACCAAAGCAAGCCGCCAATCACTAGTTCTCTCTAACGCTGTTGGATTAGCTGGTAAGGAAAATTGAGTTACTGTATTAGTAATGTGTTGATTAATACTTTTTTGTGTGAATTAGAATTGTATATGTGTTTTAAAATCAGTTATCAAGGCTAATTTGAAATTAATAAATTTTTCTGGGAGTTGCAGGAACATAAGGGGTGTACGAATCCTTTAACTGTGTTTAAAGAAATCGCTTTTGCTACTTTTCTGTTTTACACTCACTAAGCATTGGCCGCATTAATATGTATTGTTAATTATAGAGGAAGAAACATTTTAAAATTTTTACTAAGATATTCTCATGCTGGAGAATAAGGGAGGTCTTAGGTGTGTTGACTTATGTAGTTAATTGCATAGTTTTGCGTGAAGAAACCACCATGTCCTCCGCGAGTGATAAAATCTACTTGTTTCTGTTCTTGGAGATGGGACCACACTTGCAACTTTGTCCCCTTTCCTGCCTTTCTGTGTTCTCAGTGTCACAGCGGTGACGTCAGTGAAGACAGGGTCCTGCAGCCTCTCGTCTTGTTCCTTTTGGGTTGATTTCCAATGAAAATGCTGATTTTTGTCGAGTATCCCTGCATTGTTTCTAGTTCCTAATTAAAATGTCTGTGCTCACCTGTGGGCTTGTTACATTTCGTCTTTTTCAGGCATTTTAAACAGCTGTCAAGTGGAATGGAATTCATGAGAATTAACGGAACAACGTTGAGGAATCTGGAAATCCTGCAGAATCAGGTCAGGATGACGCAAAGGCTAGTTGACTAAAACTGACTTGTAGTAAGCAAAGAAGGAAAGATTGGAGTGAGGGAGCAGCCTGTTTTAAGAGTGCAGCCTGTCTGTCACCTGGTGTTACTTCTGACGGTGGTACCACTTGGGGTGGGCAGACGACAGGCTGTTGTTTTTAGTAATTGAAGGACATTGCATTCTGATGTTTCTACAGCAAATATTTCTTAGAATGGGTGTTGTCTTTGAAGATTAATATGAAGGGTTTGTCTTCATCCAGTTGATAAGTGTTTTTCCTACACACATTTAACTTCTTGGTAATGCCTGCACTCTTGTTTCATTATTTGCATATGAGACAAGTTACTGTGATGCTCAGCTTGACTTGTGAAATGCATGGGATCCCATCTCACAAGCTCTCATTACTACTTACTTGCCCTTTATCAATAATTTAAGACCACAATGGAAACATTTAGATTGCTGCTATTATTCACTTTTAAATTCTTACTGGGAAAACTGGAATATAAGCCAGTGTTGTAACAAAATCTCAAAGAAACAAAGTGTAATTCCAGGTAAATTCTAGATTACTCGGTGAAGGAGTAGAGTCTTCTATATGAAGTGTTTTCAAGCCTGTCCAAATACTCATCACTGCATCCATGTAAATACTGGTTTGTTTTCTTGAATCTTGTTTCCTCATCTTCTCATCTGTCCCGTGTAGTCCAGCTCTTTTTTATTGAGGAACATTTTTGTCTGTCTGTCCTTCTGTAATGGAGGTGCTGTGACCCCTGAATCCTGCTCTAGGTGGCTCTCCCTAGCTCTTCCCACCAGCCCTTGATAGGAAACAGGAAGCAGGATGAAAGCTTGTTCTGTGGCTGGAGGAGTTCCCCACAGAGCCTGTGGACATGGCCCTCATTTCTCCTTGTTCCTGTCACATCGCAAGCAGACCTACGAGAGTCACTTCTCAAATCCAGTTCCCAAGGCAGAGTCACCTGTCACCGTCCAGGTCGGGATGTGGGGTCTAGTGGACACAGAGACTGAGAACTACTGTCCACTCTTTACCTCTGCAGCCTGCTGTGGCCTCATCAGCAGAGGCTTCAGGGTAGTTTATTGACGGTTAACCAAGGCTGCACACTCCTTTGTGTATGTGGGATCTATCAATGCTTTCCCTTGTGTGAATGGGTGCCTCTTCCTTCCCCGCACATTAAATGAGCACTTCTTAGGAGGAGCATGTTATGCTGGGCATGTGCCATGTTTAAAATCAGGGCTGAGGATGCTTGGTGGTAGGACAGTTGCCTGGCATGCAGAAGCCCGCTGTTCAGTGACTCCGCTGAACACCATTAGGATGTGGACTAACTAGAGCACATCAACAGCGACACAAATAGAATACTGCACATATTGTAATCTCTAATTGTCTCATTAATAGAACTTGTTTTCTGATCTCTTTCAGACTGATATGAAGACCAAAGGAAGTCTGCTCTGGGTTTTAGACCACACTAAGACCTCATTTGGGAGGAGGCAGTTAAAGAAGTGGGTGACCCGGCCACTGCTTAAATTAAGGTGAGAGGAATTGGTGTGGGTGTTTAAACTGTGAATAAAAAACTGTGAAACTGAAAGTATATTAGCTTCTTTGAAACGAAAGTGACCATTGGCTAATAACATCACAGTCTTAAATGTACAAGAATCATATTTTAAAACTGACAGCGGACTGTCTAATAGTACTGAGAGCCAACCCCATCCCCCACAGCAGTCAAGAGCAAGCCTGCTCGCGGATCGGAAGCTAGGGGTGTTGTTGGGGATAATCTGGTTGGTTTGGCAGCAGCAGTGTGGGGGTGTACTGAGGGAAGGGGGAGAAACGGCCAGTGCCTTCTGTGGAGGACGTCGAAGGTGAGACTTCGAAGGCGCTAGCTAAGGAGAGCTGACTGGCTGTGGTCAGAGCTGGCCTTGTTGTGGAGAGGACTACATGGCATTGCTGATAAGGCTCTCACCATCGTGGAGCAGTGTTGAGGGCCTGAGCTGAAGAAGGACAGTTTTGTTGCTGTGGTAGCCGATGTGAAGGTCCTTCTGGGAAGGTACTTGAGACCAGTTCCTCCGCCGGCTGTCCAGTGTCTGCACGTCAGAATGTTCTGGGATCTTCATTGCAATGCTTGGGTCTAGCCCCACATTTTGGGATCAATTGGGATCTGTGTTCTGGCTGGGAGCTAGAGTTCTTAGGTTCCCAGATGACGGATACGAAGGTAAATGTGGGAACTCCTTGGAACTGTGTGTGGCCCACGGAGGTGTTCAGTTAATTTTTACTGAGTGGATGCTTTGTAGTTATTGGGCTCTTATTATGTGTCAGTATTCCATACTCAAAACCCCTCTCTACCTGGGTCCTTGACTTGAAGGAACAGACCTTGAAAGCCTCAAAACCCTGCTTGGTGTCTCATGGCCCATAACAGTAATGGCCAGCTGTAACCCTGCAGTGACCCTAGAGCCTGAGCAGGCCTCGGCCCTCGTCCTGACCCTCACGCAGTATGACTGAGCACACCCTGAGTTGTGGTGGAACAGCAGAGCTGGCTGTGTGCTGTGTTTGCTAAGTGAGCCGATCCTCGGGGGGCCTCAGTGCTGCTGTCCTGGGGAAAGCGGTAATTCTACCCCCCACTGAGCTCTCTACCCGATAGCAGGTGTCTGCTGAGGGCCTTTATGCGCCTTGCGATTCTCTCTGTAATCTTTAAAATTTTATTTATTGATTTATTTATTTATTTATTTATGTGTGTGTGTGTGTGTGTGTGTGTGTGTGTGTGTGTGTGTGTACAGGTGCCCACAGAGGCCAGAAAAGGGCATACAATCCTTTGGGCACTTGTGAGCTGGCTGTTACGGGTGGTGGAAACTGAATTCAGGTCCCCTCTCAGGGCATCAAGGGCTCTCATCTCCCGAGCCACCTCTTTCTCCAATCTCCTGCTCTGCCTCTTTTAAACCTCGGTATCCTTAGCTCCATTCTACCTGAGGATGAGCAGGTAGCCACTGTCTTCAGTCACATCATGATACGTTCTAAGATGTTACCGATGACAACCCGGTCACTTCAGATCACCGAGCTGTTCTAACGTCCGCAAGACGTGGGGAACTTGTGAGACAAAGGGGAAACACCACGTGGGTCTCTTCTTTATAGTCGTGTTCAGATGAATCTCAAAGTCCTACAGAGGAGAGGAGGTAGCTTTGTGTTGCTTCGCTGTGGACAAGGAGGTAGGGTATTCGCCATGGCTGGTGGAAAACCACTGACACGCCATGGTTCTCACCCTGGTGGGAACAGGCTTGCTAGAGACTTTTTCCTGTACATTAAACATGTTTATTTCTAGCTTTGTTTTGTTTTTGTGTGTATGTTTCACAGGAGTTAATTTGAGATAAAGTCAATAGACCATGTTTGCTACTCTTTGGGGCTTGAATTCGGTTTCCTCTGGGATCCTCCTTTTCTAGAAAGGCCAAAAGAAGGTGTCCCGTACTATACCTGATGGTTTTTAAGTTTAAATTTTTATTTATCTAATTCATTTTTACATTTGTTTAATTTGGGTATGTGTCTATGTGTGTGCTACTTGCTTGAATGTAGAAGTCAGAAGATAACTTGAGGAGTCAGTTCTCGGCTTCCACCATTAGGCTTCTGGGAACGGAACACAAGTCATCCAGCTTGGCAGCAAATGCCTTCACCGCTGAGCTGTCTCACCAGCCCTAAGGTCACTCATTTTCTTTCTTCTTTTGCTCCTCTCCCTTCTCTCCTTCCATTCTTTTCTTTTAGTGTGTGTATTAACAAGTGTGTGTGTGTGTGTGTGTGTGTGTGTGTGTGTGTGTGTGTGTGTGTGTGTCTGTGGAGGCCAGAGACCTTTCCTCAGCAGACATTTAACTCCTGGTCATCTCAGATAGGCTGTCTGAATGCCCCAGAGATCTGGCTGCCCCAGAGCTCCATCTGTTCCTATGCTGCCCAGTGAGCGCCCCTCCCCCCAAGTGCTGGAATTAAAGGCGTGAGCTGCCGCCGCTGCCGCCGCCGCCGCCGCCGCCGCCGCCGCCGCCACCACCACCCAGCTTTAATGTTAAAAATTTGCTGGGAGAAACTTTTTCTCTTTTGTTGGAATATTTGTTTAGCCAGGAATGGAAATGCTGTACGTAAGACGGTGTTGCAGCATCTTGCTTCCTGTCAAGTCCTGTGGAATCATGGTGGAAGTTACTAACTCTCTCAACCATCTAGAAAAGCCAGGCTGCTCTGATAAAGAAAGCAGTGTCTGCTTCTAAATGTATGTGAAAGGTCTGACTCCTCGCACCTCGGAGGACATCTGAGTTTTTTGTTTTTTTTTTTTTCCTCAGCAACATTTGGAAGCTATTTGAGGTTCTATTTATACAATCTGAACTCCACAATGGTGGTAAAGATGGTTTATAAGTTTTCTGGGGCTCCTGTGACAGAGTACCATGCACTTGATGATTTTGGTCATGGTGATGTATCGTCTCATGATTTCTAGGCTAGAAGCCAAAGATGAAGGTGTCAGTGGGGTGAGTTGATTCTCTGAGGGCCGAGAGCGTTAGTCCCATCCTCTTTCCTAGTTTGCTGGGACTCTTCTTCTCTTGGTTTTGGACTGCATCATCTTGATCACTACCTTCACAGTCTAAGGGTGTGCAGCTGGTGTGCATCTCTTCTGGTGTCCTGTTAAATAAGATGACCTCATCACAGCTGTTTACAGCTGCATGAGCCCTGTTTCCATGTAAAAGTCTGAGAGCTAAGATTTCAAAATCTCTCTCTCTTGGAGGGAGCATACAATTCAACCAATAACAAACAGGCTGTACATTTCAAATTTTCCCTCCATTTGGCATAAGTAGATTGGATGTAGCCATCATTTAAATATTTTGTATACAGATTTGATATCTGAAGTAAGATTGTAAGGAACCCCAGAATTTTGTAAATTGTATAATTCTTGTACTTTTTATATCTCCAGTGCATTTCTCTGAAAAATCACTACCCATCTTCTCTTTGAAAAACATCCTTGTAGCTCTTTAGGTGAGATATTTATGAAAAGGATTGGATTGATTTTAAGGATGAAAGAGAAATATTTTTACATAATTTTTAAAGCAGAGGAAGTTTCTGTGCATAGAAAGAAACAGAGGTCTTTTTTCTTTTAACATTTGAAATCCTAGTGTAAGACTACAGAGAAGAAAAGCTTCCGAGTGGAGTGGACTGAGGAGCTGTGGTCTGTGCGGACAGGCAGGGCAAGTACTGTTGGAAGAGCTCTGCACTTTGGGTTCTCAGAAAGACCAGGAGAGAGAAGCGGTGGGGTGGCAGCCCATCTCACTGCTGCGTGCCTGATCCAGGTTATCTATTGATTTCCAACCATCCTCAGAGTAAGTCGATCGATCGATCCTTCTTTTTAATAGATGAGGAAAACGAAGACTGGTTAATAATCCAAGGCCATCTGGCCAGGCACGTAGGTAGGTCAGTGTTTAAAAGCACAGTGCTGTGAGACTTAAGCTCAAGTTCCGATTTCCTTAAGTTTTGTCACTTTGAACATGTTGTCACCTTTTCTATGCCTCAGTTTCTTTCCCTGTAACATAAGAATTAACCATGCCTACCTCATACCTACCTCCTATGAAGATCAAATGAAATACTATTTACAAAGGATCAGAATGCTGCTTTAGTGTGAGCGTCATGGTCAGAAGACATCTGTGCTCATTTCTCTGGTAAAAATGCAGAAGCACAACAACAAAGTAAATTGTCTAGTTCTATATCGTTCTATTATATACCAGTTAAAATGAATGATCTAAATCTACATAGATGTGCATGGATGGATCTCAAAAAACAGTGTGAAAATGCTGTCACTTACTTAAGTCTTACAACTGTGATATCTTCAGGGGCTCAGACAGGAGTGTAAAATATGAAACCTAAAGCAGAAAGGATGTTTATTGGTATTGCGGCAGTGGTCACTTCCAGGAAGGTAGAAATAGGAAAGAGGACATGGGTCACATGGTGGTTCACATGTGGTCATGTGTCAGTAATGGATACATTGTGAAAAGTGTTTTGTGACCTTCCCAGGCATGTCCTGTGCTGGCTGGTTTTATGTCAGCTTGACACAAGCCAGAGTCATTTTGAACGAGGGAACTCAGTTGAGAAAACACCCTCACTAGATTGGCCTGTGGACAAGCCTGTGAGGCAGATGCTGATATGGGAGAGCCTTGCTCATGGTGGGTGATGCCTCCCCGAGGATGGTGGTCTTGGGAGCTATAAAACACTGCTGAGCAAACTGTGGCGAGCAAGCCAGTCAGCAGCACTCTTCCATGGCTTCTATATCAGTTCTTGCCTTAAGTACCTGCTCTGAATTCCGTCACGAAGGACGGTTACCTAGCAATGTAAGATGAAAAGGTCCTCCATTGAGGCGTGGCCCTCGCAGATCCAGCTGGAGAGCAGCAGCTGCTTTCTCTCACAGCAGCCATCCACTGTTGCACAGGTGGATACTTCCTGCCGACACTTTGCTTCTGTGGTCTGTAGGCTTCCCAGCTGGATAGGACAGTTGGTGTCCCCACCCCGCTCCGCAGCAGTGTGCATA